CTGCGTTCCCTGATCTGCACTGGCAGCAGCCCCTTTACACTGCACAGCAGTTCTCGGTGCACTGCTCCCTGATCTGCACTGGCAGCAGCCCCTTTACACTGCACAGCAGTTCTTGGCGCACTGCACTACCTGATCTGCACTAGCAGCAGCACTTTACACTGCACAGCAGTTCTCGGTGCACTGCGCTCCCTGATCTGCACTGGCAGCAGCCCCTTTACACTGCACAGCAGTTCTTGGCGCACTGCACTACCTGATCTGCACTAGCAGCAGCACTTTACACTGCACAGCAGTTCTCGGTGCACTGCGCTCCCTGATCTGCACTGGCAGCAGCCCCTTTACACTGCACAGCAGTTCTCGGCGCACTGCTCCCTGATCTGCACTGGCAGCAGCCCCTTTACACTGCACAGCAGTTCTCGGTGTACTGTGCTCCCTGATCTGCACTGGCAGCAGCCCCTTTACACTGCACAGCAGTTCTCGGTGTACTGTGCTCCCTGATCTGCACTGGCAGCAGCAGCAGCATGTGTGCGAGAGGGAAGGGTGGCACTGGGAGCAGAGCAGATGTAGGGGGCAGCAGCACAGGGAGCACTGGCTGCTGACTCACCCCTTATTAGCCAGGAGACCAAGAGCTGAAGGCAGAGTTTCTTGCCAAAATCATTAGCAGCTTGGTCGCTGGCCCTGTCTGTTTAGGGCTGATTTGCTTCGGCTCTCTAGAGCAGTGTTTCTGAAAGTGCACCACAAAATCACTTTCAGAAACACATTAACTGGCTGCCCTGGCTTGTTTATTTACTGGCATCATGGCCACAGAGCCTCACGGCTCCCATTGGCTCCGTTTTGGGAAGCAGTGTCCCAGTCCGTGCTGCTTCCCGCGGCTTCCCTTGGCTGCAAAGGATGAAACGGAGCCATTGGGAGCTATGAGGCGCCGTGGCCACAGCGCCAGTAAATAAACAAACCAGGGCGGCCAGTTAATGTGTTTCTGAAAGTGATTTTGTGGCGCACTTTCAGAAACACTGCTCTAGAGAATGGCCTTGCTAAAGCATTGCAGAGCCTGTTTTGGGGGGCTATTCTGCAGTTTCTGTTTAAAGTTTTGTGAACTAACAGAAGGGGAGTCTTTAACCAGTATTAGCTGGTTCTTAATAGGCTGATCAAGACACTGGGAGCCAATCTTAATTGGGTCTAAAAAGTTCCTGATTGACTTCAGGTGTCTCAATTGGCCTGTCTACCTTAACTGATTCTGGCAAGTTCTTGGCTGTTTTGAATTAGCCCTTTTTGCCTTACCTAGGGAAGGAGATTCATGCTGGGGGTAATATACTTGCCTTCTATTACTCTACTGCAGCCATCTGGCCTGGCCCTGGCACATTAGAGATTAAAGGAATCCTGACATAAGTTCATTCATAGTAAGTAGGTGGGGGTTGAGACCATGTCCTTGAAATCTTTTAAGGAAACAATCCTCAAAGTGCTGAAGCCTTCCCAAGGACGTAGTTGACAAATCATCAAGTACAAAATTGTATCCAACTTCTCTGTATTTCTTAATGCACCACGTTTATACTATTAGAGCAACATGTGAACATTAGTAACTCCTGTTGCTTATTCCCCACTAGAAGTCACAGCAATTCTTTGAGATGACATCACTGGCTGCTAGGGAAATGGCGATGATGTCACAAACAGGAGACTATGAGACCCAGTAAAAAATAAGAAAAAGCTGCTTACAGTAGAAGGACCCAATCCTGGGTCGAATTCAGCTCTGGCCCAAATGGGTGTCTTACCTTCCATGTGTAATTCACCTGCTTACACCAGGGCTGAATATGGCCCATGAAGTTAACACAAAGACTCTTAATCATTAAAAGGGGAGAGAAAAGGGGCCTCCAGCAACAGACAGTAAAAAGAGGGGGAATGGACCATTTCTGCTTCCAACAAGTTCACCACCTAAACACCCTCATTGAATGATAATAGCACAAGTGCCTGGGACACCACCAGCAAGGGAAGTGAAATCTGACGAGTGCTCTTGGTGAATGTTGCTTGTGTGGCTCATCCCTCACACATGAGCTGCTTTCAGGCCCTTTGCTTCGGTGTGCTGGGGTGTCAGGATAGCCCTGGCGCATCCTGCACCCCTTGCTGCTGCTCCTTCTCAGGCATCAGTGTGAAGGCCCAACATGGGTAATATTCCAGCGAGATGTTTGTTCAGTTCTTGCTGATGCTTATGCACCAACAACGAGGCTAGCAGTGTGGTTGGCTCTGCTGTGTTTAACAGCAGCCTGCTCACTCACTCTGCCGAGACCAGGACGTTCAGACAAAGCAGGTGGCTCGTGTTCATTTCCACCACCTCTGGCCTCCTCAGGGAGGATGCCTTTTAGACAAGGGGCCAAGCGAATCAGCCTGATGTTGGAGAATCAGCAGGATCTTAATGTGCGCCGATGCCAGCTGGTTAACGAGACAGTACCATTAAATTAACCCAGTGGTCCCCAACCTTTTGGGGCTGCCGGGCACCCGGGGGCAAGGGCTGCCCATGCGCTACGCCCCCGGGGCCAGCACAGTGCATGTGCCATGCGCCTGGGGCAGGACTGGCCCAAATTGTTCGGCAGGCACACATAAATGGCCGGGCGGGGACCACTGAATTAACCAATGGGGCCAGTGTCAATGTACAAGATATTAGGTGAGTCATTTCTCTGCTTTACTCCCATGACTGAATGCAGGGAGTCATGGTAGGGATGTGCAGAAGCTAGCACTATGGAAATCCAGAAAACCCTGCTGGTGAGTCTAGCTATTGCTTTAACAAGAATATTAAATAACGTAGATGAAGTGTTTGCACCATCATGGCCATATATTATAAGCTCTGTGGGGCAGGGACTGTGTCCTTCCTACTTTCTGTAGAGGGACTGGTGCACTTAGCTATAGTCTCTGGAGCATCCAGAGATATGTTTGGTGCCCATGCATTGTGCTATATCCCTGCCTCGCTAGGACTGCCTAGCTAGCACTTGTGCTATTGTCAGACTGTCTGCATCGGGATATGGAGTGGGTAGGAAATAGCATGAGAACCTCAACAATCAGACGCTGGGTTTGCAAAACCCACGCCCCAGGATCCACTTTATTCAAATTACCATCATTCTGAGCCCAGAGTGGGATAAAAGCTTCTGGCTTTTGCTCATCTCTAGGCAATAGTTAAATAATAGAACACTAGGACTGGAAGGGACCTCCATGGCAGTACCCAGTAATTTGTTCCCGTGTTTAACCACCCTTGCAGTTAGGAACTTTTTCCTAATGTCCAACCTAAACCTCCCTGCTGCAGTTTAAGGCCAGTGCTTCTTGTTCTATCCTCAGAGGCTAGGAAGAACAAGTTTTCTCCCTCCCTTTTAGATACCTGAAAACCGCTATCATGTGCCTTCTCAATCGTCTCCTTTCCAAACTAAACAAGCCCAATTCTTTGTCTTCCTTCATAGGTCACGTTCTCTAGACCTTTAATCATTCTTGTTGCTCTTCTCTGGACCCTCTCCAGTTTCTCCACATCTTTCTTGAAATGTGGTGCCCAGAACTGGACACAATACTCCAACTGAGGCCTAATCAGCGCAGAGTAGAGTGGAAGAATTACTTCTCGTGTCTTGCTCACAACACACCTGTTCATGCATCCCAGAATCATGTTTGCTTTTTTTGCAACAGTGACACACTGTTGACTCAAATTTAGCTTGTGTTCCACTCTGACTCCTAGATCCCTTTCTGCCGTACTCCCTCCTAGACAGTCACTTCCCATTCTGTATGTGTGAGATGGATTGTTCCTTCCTAAGTGGAGCACTTTGCATTTGTCTTTATTAAACTTCATCCTGTTTACCTCAGATCATTTCTCTGGTTTGTCCAGGTCACTATGACCCTGTCCTCCAAAGCAGTTGTGGGTGCTATGGGCGCTCTGCTAATCAGCTGGGTGGTGTTAGAATCTTTCCTAGGTGGCTGCCCAAGTGCTCAGCATACAAGGAACCTTGGGCATAAAGAGGGCAGGGCTGCAGTTGTTCACAGTGGCGTCTCTGCCTCTCCCTATCACTGCTGCGGATCAGTATCCATCTTGGCACTGCTATCCTGGGTGTGTTTTGTAACACAAAATGAAAGGCTGCCTTTTCAGATGCCAGAAGCTGGCAGAGCTCCATGGACTTCAAAGTCAGTTTGTGTTTGAACTGCAAACATATCGTCCCCCTGAGCTTGATTAGACGACAACAGGGAATCCAGGCACTCCTCAAATTCCACATAATAGAAAAATGAATCAGAAGCATGTGGCCCTGTATAAAATAGATCCTCAGTCAGTTCACCGCCAGGGACCACAGTTGCTCAGAGAGATCTTTCATTGGGCCAACTTCTGTTGATAAGAGAGACACACTTTCAAGCCACACAGAGCTCTGCTTCTACCGCCTCGTTCCTCAGACACGAGGCTTTCCTTAAGGGGCTAGCGAGATGAGGGCATGCATGTGATCGCTGCTTGGATTGATACGTCATTTCCTTTTGTTCATAGGGTCAATAAGGCAAGTGTCAGTACTAGGATTAAACAAGGCCATTGGTTCTATTATCTGGCTCTTAATAAAAATAAAATAATAACGGGTTATTATTATATATTAATAATTGGTTCTCTTTCTCAGTCAATCTGGGTCAGTAGTGACTGTGTCAGAAAACTGCCCCCTCGGGAGCTCCCAGTACCTCTTCCCGGGGGATTTGTACCCTTGCGCTTCCAGCTGAGGCCTCCGCCAAAGGGAATTGCCTGCATGCAGCGTGGGACCCCTCTGTCCAAGGGAGCAGGACTTGTGTCTGTTCTGAACAAACGACACTAAGAAAACAGCTGAGGGCATCACCGATTTTCCCCTCCCCCATAAACTAGAAATCACATTTTGCAAAATGTTTTAAAATGTGTGTGTTTAAATTATTTTGGCATTTGAACTTACACAAAAATAAACATTTTGCGTGGACAATTTAGATAAACTTTTTTTTTTATTTTTTTTAAATTTTTGACCTCTTCCAGGTATCCACTCTTGCCGTGCAGGGAGGAGCCGGTGGTCAATCTCAATTGGCCAGGACTCAGCTAAAGGCCAGAAGAAGAGGAAAGGAAGTGAGCCTTTGCCCTCCTGACCTGATCTGGCAGAGGATGTGAGGCCGTCGCTGTGATTGGCTTCGCCAGGTGCCAGTAAGGACTCGCATGCTACGTTAGCACTGGATTACTTCATTGACGCACAGCTGGACGGTGCCTTATGAGTGGACATCAGGGAACCAAGACCAAAGCCAGGTTGTGAGGCAATGGGATTTGCTGCAAAAATAAGAGTCTGCCCATTCAGCAGCTCATCAGGAGAAATAACTGCTACTGAGGCAAGAGGAAGCTGGTTGCCCTCAGCCCGGTAAGTACAAAGACAAAGTTGTGTGTCAGATGCATGCTGGGAAAGAGGATTCCAGCCATCCTCACAAGAGCCCTACTTGCCCCTGGCCATGGAGCTCTGGCCCTAGGAAGAAAAGGGGAGAGGGATGTAGGAGGCTCTGGCAGTGCTTTGTCATCTGAGGAGCCCTGTACACAGGGGAGAGCTTGCTGTGATGGAGCACAGGAAGAATCTGGCCCCTAATGTTCAAGCCACATGAGTCATCCAGTCCTTCAAGCTGACTGGCCTGTGGAACATGCACCACATCTGGAATCCTGAGCTCCGCTCCACAGCCAGTTAGCCAGAGTCCGAGTGCTGTGGGGTAGAGGGAAGAGGAGGTGAAATCAGTGAAACCAGTTGGGTACATTTTTGATGGAATCTTATTGGTTTGTTTGCAAAACATGTGCACACAGTCCATTTTCCCATTATGCGTGCTAGAAACAAACAGCAGCAGGCAGTTTCCTTGCTTAGAAATCCCCAGGGCTGCTATTCCAGCACATTCTGTGCCCACAAGTCCTGCAGCAGCATCCTCTCAGGGTCATGCTCACCATGCCTTGACTGTCTGCCTCCAGGACACAAGGCACGGAGCCCATCTGCTCGCTCCTGCGTTAGCCCCTCCCTTGAGCAGCCCCCTCCCACACACAATTATTGGCAGCTATTTTGACTACAGAAGGGGTTTGGATTGCTTGAAAGGGTGCGAGGCATCCCCTGATTCTTTTGGTCCCTCGCTGGCAGTAATGAGCTTTCAACATGAGCCAGAGGGAGCATTGGCTCCACAGTGTATGCTCCCCAGATACTGGTGAAAACTGCAGGGTGTGGCCTATGGAAAGCAATTATAGCCAGTCTTCTGTTGCGCACAAGTATAAATGTCATCTCAAGTCATGCCTCCTGCTTGCAGAGGTGGTTTTGGTCTGTGGATCTTCTGTGTGCTGCTTTTTGAGTGAGCTGTTCCATCTTGTCATGCACTCTGACCAAGCCAGGATGGGTATTTCCTGGCGGTGGCAGAACAGCTGCTCTTTGAGCACTTCACTTCTTTTTTTCTTTCTTTCCCCACCCAGCATCTCAAATTTCATCAGCCTTTTGCACAATGACTTGCTAAAGAGTGTGTAATAACCCTGAGGCAAGCGCAGGATCAACTTAGTGCCAATCCGTTTTACCCTGACCACACATGGCCACAATCCCTGCCGGCCTCTTCCTGACGCATGGACCTGGCAGTGGAGATATCCTCTGCGCAGGGAGGTTACAAAAATAATTCTTCAGGAATAAGACAAAAGAATAGTCCGGGAGGGTGCAGTTTAAAAAGGTCATGAAATGAAAGAATCCATTCAGAGCTGCACATTAGCAAAGACATTGTTGACCCTGAGTGACTTGCTCCCTTATCAGATTTATGCAACCCAGATAAGGTTTTGGTGATGCAAATATTCCCCTGGCTTGGGTCGTGTTGGGCCCACAACTTGCACTGATGCCTGTAGTACAAGACATGAAATCAGTACAAGTGAGAGGAGTAGCTCAGCTCGACTTGCAGCGTAGCTACAAACATTGTCCTGTGATCCCCTGACGCTGGCCTGTCCCTCACCAAGTTGCTGTGGCTGGCAGGGATGTTTACATCTCTGAGATCCCCTTCCACGGAACTGGTAATTCTGTGAGTGCCTGTTCTCTAACCATGCTGGCAGTGCCTGAAATCCAAATAAAGGTCACATGGGCCACGTCCCCTCGAGTCCTGGAGAAGACATCAAATTGGAGCTTAAAGAACAATCTCTTTGGCCCAGGCCAGAACTAGGGAGCACAAGGCTTCCATTCAGAAAGGTACTTACGCACGTGCTTAACTCTGGGAGTGCTCACATGCTCAGTGACTACCAGTGGGCCTGTGTACTTCTGGGCAGGCATGTGCTAACATGTGTTGCTTAGTCTGAGAGTGAGAACGCTGGGAGAGCAACAGGGTGGGTCTGTAGCCAGCAGCCTGCTCTGCTCTGACTGTCACTCTGGGTAAGTCCTGTTTCTTCTCTACAAGAGGAACAGTGCACAGACCACGGAAGCCTTTTGAGTCACCTGGCAGACTAACCTGATTCGCATAGGAAATGTAAATCATGGGCCTGGCAAAAACAGGAGCCAAATGAGCAGCTGGCCAGAGTGCAAGGGCAAACCTCCAAAGTATGGGGAGACGGCAGAAGCTAACGTGTTCTGCTCTTCAATTCAGGAGCCCAACAACATGAAGCCCTCACACGCTGATGCTCGGCTCTGAAGCCGGGAGGCATCACAGAATAGAATCCTAGGGCTGGCAGAGACCTCAGGAGTCATTGAGTCCAGCCCCCTGCCCAAAGCAGGACCATCCCCAACTCAATCAACCCAGCCAGGGCTTTGTCAAGCCGGGACTTAAAAACTTCTCAGGATGGAGATTCCACCTCCTCCTTAGGGAACCCATTCCCAGGGGCGGATATAGGGCAGGGCGAGCGGGGCAGCCGTCCCGGGCCCCGTGCTTCAAAAAGCCTTGCGCATGCGCCGTGGCAAAGGGGGGCCCCGCAAAATTGTGCTGCCCTGGGCCCCGCAAAATGGTCATCTGCCCATTCCAGTGCTTCCCCACCCGCCTAGGGAAATAGTTTTTCCTAATATCCAACCTAGACCTCCCCCACTTCAACTTGAGACCAAGCCTCTCTCCAGCCTCTTTGGAACCTCCCTTCAGGAAGTTGAAGGCTGCTATCAAATCCCCCCTCACTCTTCTCTTCCGCAGACTAAATAGACCCAACTCCCTCAGCCTCTCCTCATAGGTCATGTGCTCCAGCCCCCTCATCATTTTGATTGCCCTCCGCTGGACCCTCTCCAATGCGTCCACATCCTTTCTGTAGTGGGGGGCCCAGAACTGGACACAGTACTCCAGATGTGACCTTACCAGAGCCGAATAAAGGGGAATAATGACATCTCTAAATCTGCTGGCAATTCTCTTCCTAATGCAACCTAATATGCCATGCACCTTCTTGGCTACAAGGGCACACTGTTGACTCATATCCAGCTTTTCATCCACTGTAATCCCCAGGTCCTTTTCTGCCGAACCGCTACTTAGCTAGTCAGTCCCCAGCCTGTAACACTGCCTGGGATTCTTCCGTCCCAAGTGCAGGACTTTATACTTGTCCTTGTTGAACCTCATCAGATTTCTTTTGGCCCAATCCTCTAATCTGTCTAGGTCTTGGACCCTCTCCCTGCCCTCCAGCATATCTACCTCTCCGCCTAGCTTAGTGTCATCCGCAAACTTGCTCAGGGTGCAATCCATACCCTTATTCAGTTCACTAATAAAGATGTTGAACAAAACCGGCCCTAGAACCGACCCTGGGGGCACTCTGCTTGAAACCGACCACCATCCTGACATCGAGCCGTTGATCACTACCCGTTGGGCCCAACAATCTAGCCAGCTTTCTATCCTCCTTACAGTCCATTTATCCAGTCCATACTTCCTTAATTTACTGGCAAGAAGATTGTGGGAGACCATATCAAAAGCTTTGCTAAAGTCAAGTGCATCACATCCTCTGACTTCCCCATGTCCACAGAGCCAGTTACCTCATCATGGAAGCTAATCAGATTGGTCGGGCATGACTTGCCCTTCGTGAATCCATGTTGGCTATTCCTGATCACTTTCACCTCTTCCAAGTCTTCAAAATGGATTCCTTGCGGATCCCCTCCATGATTTTTTGGGGGCTGAGGTAAAGCTGACTGGTCTGTAGGTCCCTGGATCGTCCTTCTTCCCTTTTTTAAAGATGGGCACTGCATTTGCCTTTCTCCAGTCATCCGAGATCTCTCCCGATCTCCACGAGTTTTCAAAGATAATGGCCAAAGGCTCTGCAATGACATTTGCCAACTCCCTCAGCACCCTCGGACGCATTAAATCCAGGCCCATGGATTTGTGTATGTTTAGCTTTTCTAAATAGTTCCTAACCCATTCTTTCCCCACCGAGGGGAGGAGAGTGTAGTGGGGCCCCGACCAAACTCCACAGGGGATGGGGAGGGCGTGCCCCATTTCATTCCTGGCTCTGAAAGCCAGCGTTGGCTCCACTCTTAGCCCCACCTCTCCCCCCCCACCAAGTTTGGTACCAGCTGTTGTCCACCTTATTCCTTCCATGTCCCCCATTCTTGGAGCTGCAGTCCCACTCCTGGCCCTGGCTCTGAAAGGAGGCGGGATAGAGGTAAGAAGGGCATGAAGTAAAAAGTCTGAGGATGATTGATTTAAATCAATCATTTTATAACTTCTTTCAAGTTAAACTGGTGCAATTTGTAAGTGCAGATAGTCTAATAGTACTATAAATAATAAAAGCACAATAGAAATGCAATATGATCTATGGTTTTTCAGAAATCAAAGTTGCAAACACCCATTTCAAAATATCAAAGTATATTAGCTCACAAACAGGACTGTACAAATCTTTTACTCTTAACCCATTTATTGGCTGAAAGTTATGCTTCCTGAGAACATCTAATGCAAATAATTTCTTTAAAACTACATAATCTGCCCAATTTGCATCTTATTTATAACAAAAACCAATCTAGACTAACAATCTCTTTATAAAGTTTAAGCCTGATGTGATTTTAAATGATTGAATTATAAATCCATGAAACTCAGGACGTACAGTGGATACAGGGGCTGAAGTATGCTGTTTGTTAAGGCAATAATGAAACACACTATTGTAACCACTTAAGGAAATACATTAGCTGCTAACAAAGAGGAGCTTCTATAAAATCACGCAGTTCCTGTGCACTAAACCATGACGTTTTAAATCCTCCATCAAAACATTTTTTAAAAAGGAAAATAATGAAGCTGTTGAAATAAGACTGGCTCTGTGTAGCAAGCCACGTTTCCAATAATACAGTGAGTGACACATTCTTAAGCAAGTAACAGAGGAATTAATTTGCTACAATGAAAGTGTTCCTTTGCCTAAGAGGCCTTGTATAAATTTTGCATAATGCTAGGAAGCTATATATTCCCCCATTATAAACTTCCTTCA